TCTCTCTCTCTCTCTCTCTCTCTCTCTCTCTCTCTCTCTCTCTCTCTCTCTCTCTCTCTCTCTCTCTCTCTCTCTCTGTGTGTGTGTGTGTGTTCCCATGGGTGTATGTTGTCTGTGATTCAGCTTCTAGACAAGCCAGCCTCAGCAGCAGCAAAGGCTGTGACCAGAAATGAAGTTGTTGCTGTATCTGATCAGGTCTCTAAGGAGGCAACAAAAGGTATTTGCTGACAATTATCTCCCTCTGGTTTTGGTGCTGTCACAAACATCTCCAGCTGTTGAATTGGTTTTCCAAACAATTTGTTGTTTTTGGCACTTTTGCAGCAGAAGTTTTGCTTGAATTTGCATTGTTTTGTTCATATTAAACAGTTCCCATTCTCTTTTTCGGTCAGATCTGTTGCCTTCGAGCATTGGTTCCATTCGTCCGTGGTGTGACATTATTCATTCGCGTGACATTGCGTTTTTGTGAAGCACTCATTTGTGTGACACTATCCGTGGTTTTGTATTGGCTAGGCCTGGAATTACCCACCGTCTTCCCCCGAACACAACGCACCCTCGTTTTGACTGCACCGGACTGGAAAGTTGGCTTGTATACGCTCACTATCACAGAGAATGCATTGTGTTCGGGCCAAGACGGTAGCCAGTCCAAGGCTTAGTAATGTTGGATATGCAGTGTTGGATCCTGAATGGCCATGTCTTCAACATAGCACGTTATGAATGGGAATTCTCTCGGCTATATTAGGTGGTGGGAAAAGTTTCGAGACCTGGGGATGGCCCCCTGAATCGTGATTGTTCAACAAATGTTGCTACGGGATGCTGGGGCCGGTTCCCAGCACGTGCTGCTCCCCACTAATAGACTGGAGCTTGGTCCCTTTGGAGAAAAAAAAAAAGAAAAGAAGAAGAACACTTCATGTTGCAGATATGGTATTGCATTCAGGTCCTATGATTGATTGACGAAGGTTAGGGAACGATGTAAATCGCCACCGATACATCACATAGCAAGTTACAACTAATGACAGATAGTCAATCTGCGAAATATGTGAAATCTTGAACTCGAGTCAAACTCGACAAAAAGAAAAACAGAGAAACAAGAGTCTGTGGTTTAACCATGGTAAGACTACAGCGCTCCCTAAGAAGGAACGCCATATCCAGTATGGTGTACTGGCCTTAGGGAACGATGTAAATCGCCACCGATACATCACATAGCAAGTTACAACTAATGACAGATAGTCAATCTGCGAAATATGTGAAATCTCGAACTCGAGTCGAACTCGACAAAAAGAAAAACAGAGAAACAAGAGTCTGTGGTTTAACCACGGTAAGACTACAGCGCTCCCTAAGAAGGAACGCCATATCCAGTATGGTGTACTGGCCTATTGACAGGGGTAAGAGTGGAGCGCTAGAGCAGAGTGACGTGCAGTGATGCAGCTGCCTCCTCTGGACATTGTGCAGCAGCTGTCCTAGTGTGACATTGTGTGACATGCATCGCTCGATGTGACAGCCTGAAGCAGTTGGGACTTTGTGAAGTTTCTGTGGTATTGAGAATCAGGTGGCTGTGGCTGACACTGTGGAGCAGTTGGCTTCGTTTTTCGGTTGACGTTTTTTTGTGCACATCAGTTGCTGCATTATGGACTGGCGACCCGAAGCTCCAAGATGGCGTTAGGGTTCTGAGAGTGCTGGAAAACACTGTCGTCGCCTTTCTGGGCATGTCAAATGCCAGCTCTGTCGGCATGGGCCCGACACTTCTCGCTTCACTAAGGACTGTCGCTTCTGCCATAGTCGAGAGTTGCATCACCCTTGTTGATGCAGTGATCGCCTATGGCTTGCACAGTGAGTCTCTCTCCTTTTCCTTTTCGTGCTTTTTCTTTTTATCTTTTTCTATACTTTTGTTGTTGTTGTTGTTGTTGTTTTTAAAGGTTAGTTTTATTCCAAAGGCAAATACGAGGCCGGGGACCTGTTGTTGTGTGCGTGTTTTTCAAAGAACCCCAAACTCTCGCTCTCTCTCTCACTCGATCCACAAATCATCGCAGACCATCCATAAAACAAAAGAGATATAGATATAGGCAATACAGTAGAAGGTGCAAAGTTGGCCACATTTGTGTTGTTAAGCGCCAAGTGCCCACACACGCGCATCAGCCGGCCGAGCGGCACACTTGCACAAATATATTATAATCTATACGAGGAGGGCATAGGGTAGCACCAAACAAACAACAATTGTACCAAAAAAAAAAAAAAAAAAAAAAAAAAACGAACAACAATTACACAGAACAATGAGAACATACTACGTAGACAATATGCGTTGCACGGTTGCACCACAACCCAACCCCTCCCCCCCTCCCCCCCTCTCCCCCCCGCCCCCCCAAAGAAAAAAAAGAAAGCACTGACCACATCAGCAACCCCTAGCGCTTGGCCTTGAAAAAAACCTTAGAGAGAGAGAGCCCCTTTTTGAGCCAGTGCACACTACCACCAGAAATCAATCAAAAAGTCTCACTCATACTGTATCTGCATCCAACCAACACGACAGCATCCACCAAATCTGGTATAGAGACCTCAAATCGTTAAGCTCCAGTGTTCCTACATTCTTGCCCCGAATACAACGTACGGTCATTATGGCCGTATCTAGACTGAAAGATGCCTCAAATGCATTTTTAATTACCGTATGTTGTATTCGGGGGAAGAAGGTAGGTCCTAGGGAGCAAAGTTCATCGATCGATCGATGAACTTTGGTCCCTAGTATCCATCCATCGATGACCTTTGTTTTGAAAACAATTGCTCCCTGGCATAGACACCTCAAATCGTTTAAGCTCCATCATTCCATGACCTTCGCACGGCACATGCATTCACTTCATAGGACTTTCATCAACGCAACAAGCTAGTACACTGAATCCCCCATAATAAAGCACCCAGACACATTGTCACAGCAATCACACTGGTCGCTGTAGCCTTTTTATCTCATGCGTTCAGAGGCAAAGACAACCCTCGCCAATCTATCAAATCATTCCTACCCAAAAAAGGAAGACCCCAATCCCACGATCCTACCCAGAAGGAAGACACCCCAATCCCACGACATGTCCCGCGGGCATGAGGCATGTGCTGGACACCAGAAGAGACCCCTGCTGGCCACACACAGCACCCTTATCCCATGTGTTCGGTTTCAAAGACACCCACGGTTAACACTGCCCAAGCCTGACTGAGGACAGGGACGCGGTTACGGAAACAGCCGATCCCCGCCCAAGACGAATACCCCGATCCCACGACGTGTCCGTGACATGAGGCATTTGTGCAGAACACTAGAGGAAGCCCTGCTGGCCACAGCACCCTGTGCTGTGAAAGGCACAGTCCACATGAACGTGAACCTCGTCTGTAATATCGAACAATGACGAACGATTGTTTGACAGCGACCACAACCATTGCATCAATCGATGAATGTGATAGTTAATAGTTATGTTTTTAACTTTTTTATCTCTCGTCTAGCAGCCCCGGTAAGGAAACAGAAGCTTTTTTTTTTTTTTTAAGGAAACAGAAGTTAATGCGTCGAACAACGACCACAACCATTGAAACTGGGCGCACAATGATTGCAAAAAGCCTTGAGAAGTTGAGAATGATTTCCACAATTTGCTTTGTTTGAACCCCCTCCCCCGTCCTGTCCTCGATGCGACTCAATTCGGAGGGGGAGTAGCGCTTGTTTTACAGAAATCTTTTGGGCCTAGAAACATGAAACTGGGCGTGTCCCATGAAACAGCCCCACGATACCATGGGCCCACTCTGCTTAAAACACCTTGGTTCGTACCGCGCAAACCATGAGCTTTGCAGCAGACAACGCACTGCAAGAAATATCTCACCTTCCGTACCTTCAATCGGGATCTCACACACAGCAAACACTCTCTGAGCCTCTTCACAAGGATTCCATGGCATGAAAGAAAAGCCGTACTCACCTATAGATCTTCATGAAAAAAGATCATGACAAATACAGTAGCAACTAAACCCTAAACCGTAAGAAAAGGTACACGTGTGTGTTCTCCTCCTCCTCCTCCTCTTCTTCTTCTTCTTCTTCTTTGGGAATTGTGCGCGTTAGCTGAGAACTCGTACATGTGGCGCTGTAATGACGAATTTTCTGAGCGTGTATGAAAGACAGTTGGCCCCTGTTTCACTATTCACTCTTCTTCTTCTTCTTCTTCTTCTTCTTCTTCTTCTTCTTCTTCTTCTTCTTCTTCGTCTTCTTCTTCTTCTTCTTCTGCTTCTGCTTCTGCTTCTTCTTCTCTTCTTCTTCTGCTTCTGCTTCTGCTTCTGCTTCTGCTTCTGCTGCTCCTCCTCCTCCTCCCCCCCCCCAGACTCCTCTTTCTTCGTCCTTTTTGTTTATGTTGCAGACAACAGGCCATGAAAATATACTCAAGAAGCAAGACCAAAAAAAAAAAAACAACATGGATGCAAGGAAATTCCCTTAGCATTGCAGGTGTGACACTACGAAATTATACTCAAGAAACAAGGCAAAAAAAAAAAAAAAAAAAAAGGATGCAATGCAGGCCGCTGCAAAGCGGCTTGGAATCAAATAAATCGGGAAACGAACGCGCACCAGTTCATTGAGTGAATCATCAATTCAATCAAATTGAATTTTTTAATCAACAGAATCGGCGCCCGGATGGACCGATGATAGGCCAAACAGCATGCGGATTGTACGGCCAATGTCTGCAGATCGCTCGTCTGTCTATCTGCACCACTATGTTCTCTCTCAGAGGGAGTGTGAAACGGTTTTCACCTTTGCAGTAGCGTGTGCAGATCCCAGGGCTCGATCCCTAGACCTCGTTCCCCTGTGTACAGTATACCTGTGTGTTGAACCCGTAACCTGTCTTCGGAATCAGTTGTATGTCGTAGGCCAGTGTGTCTGTCGGGTCTTGAACCGTAGGTCTGTCGCATAGGGGTTAAGTCTGTAGCTGGGGTCGTAGCTGTAGGATTTCTGAAAGGTCAAGGTCGTAGCTGCTACAGTCCTGAAAGGTCAAGGTCGTAGCTGCTACAGTGTCGAAGGGCCAAGTCCACAGACTTTCGGAAGGTCTGGAAGTGGCCCTTCAAACGTTGCTCACAGCAGGCCAGAGGCAAGTGGGCAAGTGGTGAGGTCCACCCATGCTGAGTCAGCGGTACCCAGTCCCAGTCTCACTTAGTCCAGTTAGCAAGTACCATGTGGGACCTTGTGCACTCAGGGCCCAGTGGAAATGAGGCAGACCAGCCACGAACAGAAGTATAAATCAAGAGGCAGCGTCCAGTCATTCATTCATTCCTGTGTGAGCCATGCGGAAGCGCTGCTTGAGCGACTTGTGCGAGGTGGTCTGTAGAGTGCCCGAAGACGAAGTGGGCAGAGTAGAGGTTGCGTAGCCATAGCCAGCAGCGTTGAGCGGCCATAGCCACCGTAGGTGGTAGGCGAGTGTAGTGTGCGCGTGCGTGTGATACAGTGTGTCCCGTGTGGGATATCCAGGGTGATCCTGAGTTGAGTATGTGTGAACAGCGGAGTCGAGCACAGTGACGAAGAGAAAGTTGTACAGGCGCGGATGCGCCATGGCCTGTTGAAGCGAGCATGTATCTGAACTGTGTTTCCGACTTCCATATCTCTGAGCTTTGAGTGGGCGCTGAGCGCCAGTGCGACTTGCCATCTGTTTGCGTGAATGCGAGGTAGAAAAGAAAGCAAGTCTGATTGCGGAGAGAGAGAACACCCACCGCCCGCTGGAGGAAGATGTTTGCCAAACACGTTGTTTGAATGTTCATCAGCACATTGCTTGAACGTTCAGTGAAACATCTCTGATCCATGAGCGTGCAAAGAGGGAAATGCGGAAGTTGAAGATGTTTACAGGGTAGGGTAAATGTAAGGTGTGCATGAAATCCTTTTTTTCCTTCAATAATTGCAAGGATTCTGGTCCTCGGCAGCGACAAAAAGGCCCCACCACAAGCATTGTGCCCGCCCTGAGTGAAGGCAGCCCTGCAAATAGAAATTTCTCTGCGCGAGTCTGCGGCCTATTTGTCGCCTATCTGAGGGGCCCTCAGACGCTTCATGGGCGCCAGTTGGTTACCTCGGGTGCCAGTTGGTTACCTAGAGCGCCAGTTGTTTTTTTCTTTTTTTTTGTGGGGCGGGGGGGGGGGGGGGGGGGGGACAAAAGCTCCAATCTATTCGTGGGGAGCAGCACGTGCTGGGAAATGGGCCCAGCGTCACATATGAAATTGCAAGCACTGAAATACCGGGACCGAGCGCCAGTTGGTTAAGAATGCCCGATGTGACCAGGCCGTGCTCTGTGCGACGTCGCACCCCCTGCTTCCAGCCAATTAGGAAGCAGAGAACAGCACAGGCCATGTCGTTTAGTTGGGGTCGCGTAACTGCTTCAGGCCAGTTTCTGAATCGGGGCCCGCGCGCAGACACTTTGGGCCCCGACGAGAAGCTAAAGGAAACTCCGCCCACCAGAAGAGGCTGCCTGGCAGAGGCCAGCACTTTCCATATAAGTGCCAGCCAGCGAAGGGCTCATTCTGGCCTGGCATTACTGGGCGGCAGCGCTCGTGAATTGAGCGTAGCTTGGCCGCTGGCGCTGAGGGCTGGGGCGCACACGAGCACAGGACGGAGGAGCTACTGGTAGCAGCATTGGCGAGCAGCCAGCCATAGCCGGGCTGCATCTCCTTCGAATCCAGCGGGGTTCGGCGGAGGTCCCAGGAGAGAGGCGTTGTGATTGGGGGTAGACGAGGGTGAGAGAGGGCGTGAGGAGGACGTACCTGGTTGTGCGGCTTGTGCCGTGGAGGTCTGCATGGGCGGCATCTTCACGTACAAGTGGTCTGCCTGCTGCTGTTGATTCCGGTTGCATCGTCATCGTAGTGTAGGCTAGTTTTAGGCGCTGTGTGATTGTAGTCTGGGTGCTATGCCACCATTAAGTAGGAGAAGAGACATTGGATACATCGTTGATGGTGGCGAGAAGGGGCTGATGATATTGACAATCGAGTTCACTTCTTTGGTCTCCACTGGTGTGTAACTTGGTGTTTTCTGGTTTCTGGACAACATTCGACTATCATCTAGCTTTCAAAATTCAATGTGATGTTGCAATTTGGATTTCTGTCATTTCGCTCTCACTCAATTTCAGTGCATAATGAACATCGATGCAAGCGATGTCCATGGATGTCTTGGGGGAGGGAGTGCACTTCTCTTACTTCACCTCCTCTTCATGATTGTGAAAAGAGTGGAGAATTCATTAACAAGTTAATAACAACCACTGCTTGTTGCTCTTGCAATGGGTGGAATGTGGATGCACCTGGCCATGATCACTGTCAGGTGGGAAGAAGTCAGAGGCAGCAGCAGAGGCAATCCCACCACTTGCAGGCCGGGTATGGGAGGCATGCGACGCAATGAAAAGGCTTCCACCCGACAATCGGACAGCAGTTGGCCGAGCGCTGACCCGTCTTGCGACTTCCGTCAAGGATGTCATGAGAGAGATTAAGGAGATGGAGCTAGACGAAGAGGAAGAGGAAGAGGAGGAGAAGAAGAAGAAGAAGGACAAGAAGGACAAGAAGGACAAGAAGGAAGAGGAGAAGGAAAAGGATGATGAACATGATGACCCGCCAAAGGGCGTCTGCGACGAGGAGGGTGACGAAGACGATTTCAACTTCGATCCGAAGTTGAGCGCGAAGGAAATGGAAGTGGCAAAGCGAGTCGACAGACTATGTGAATGTGTTCTTGGTGTATTCAAGCAACTTCTATTCCTGACGATCGAACTGAAAGAGCCAACCCTCGACGCTTCTTCCACCTCACCCTCGCCCTCCTCCTCCTCCTCCTCCTCCTCCTCCTCCTCCTCAACAACTGCACCACCCTCTTTATCGCCAGCGGCTACCGCTGGATCGGCCGTAGCAGGGTCAATTGGCACCTCAAGTGCAAGTCTGCCGGCGCCTTCAGCTCCACCGTCTCTACCCGCGATGCCGACCAGCGGATCGACTGCAGCCGGGTCGACAGGCACTCCAAATGCAAGTCTGCCGGCGCCCTCAGGTGTTCTGCCAAGTGCGTCGCTGGGCCTCGCGGGTGGAGGGCTCCCACAACTGCCGAGTTTGGGCTCGGGGTCGACGCGAAGAGGCAAGCACGGCCATGGAAGAGGAAGGCCCACCGGAGGTAGCAGCAGCGGCGGCCCCACGAACAACAGCCGTACCGCACGGGATGTACAGCCGGTTCAATGGACGATCGTCAGGCCGCCGGAAGGATTCACGTCAATCAATATCCTGGAGAAATTGTTGAAGCTGTCAAAGGACATGTCGTCCGAAATCGAAGAGATCGGGGCCGGCTTGTACCCTCCACAAGAAATATCAGCCATCAGAGAACGTTCTCAGAAGGTCAAGGCTCTTTCAGAGCAGATTCCGGAATTGTTGAAAGGGGTGATTGAACCTGTGCCAGAGAAGCTGCGAGATGGTTTAGGATCGTTGCAAGAGACGATCCAATGGTTAGACCAGGAACTAGCCGAAGGGTAAGGTGCTGATAATTTTAATTTTAAAAAGAAAAAACGAAGGGTAAGGTGTTGAGGACTTTCAAAAAAAATAAAAAAAATAAATAAATAAATAAAAACGGTCCCAAAAAAAAAAAAAAAAAAAGGGGTGTGTGCTGGAAGAGGGGTTGATACAAGAAGGGTAAGGTCTTGAGAACTGTGACAACGACAAGTGAAAATATTAAAATAAACTTGAAATGCCGCTCTTGGTGAATTGAATTCCATGATAATTTTTTATTAGTATTATTTTTTTGAGCTGGAATTTGGCAAAGCTTTGGTTATTATGAAGTTGTGAGAGGGTACCAGCCTGCTGGACGATTGCAAGATACTCCCCCCCCCCCCCCCCCTTCCTAGAATCTACCATGCATAGGTTAAGACCCTTTTTAAGGAATGTTAGACTCTAGTATTGCATATTACCTCTGATGATCTATTTGGTGGCGGCCCTCGTGAAAAAAGAAATCGGTAGAGCATACTGTCGAGGACAGTGAGTGTTGAAGTTGTCGTACAATTTCATTGGTTCTGTCGTCATCCCAATTTTTGGGAAATGCGACTTTTATGTGTGGGTATGGAAGACTCCTCTTCGTGTTGAGTCATCTCAGCCTGTCGAGTGACTCGAGTCGTATCTTATTCTGCCCGCAACCGGTCCGTTTTGTCATTGCGGATGTCCCCCCCCCCCCCTTTGACTCTTTGCCAAAGCTTTTGACGTTGGGGTTGGTCCTTCACCGAAAAGAGAGCAGCCATGAGAGGGGTGAACCTTTTCCATTTTGTTTTCTTAAGAGGTGTCACGGGTGAACCTTTTCGTTTTTCTTTTCTTTAAGAGGGGTGAAGTCCCCTAGGGTACCCGCCGGGCCGCCCGGGTCATCTTGTTTGCCCGGGCAACCCGGCCGTGCAAGGACCAAAGAAGGTCCCAGCCAAAAAACAAATCACAAAAATCTGAAAGCAAATTATGTTATGCAGAAAGAAAAGTAAACTGAACAACTTTTGCCTCAGGGTCATATCGAAATTCTTTACCAAACTAGGCTACCAGCCGGGCCGCCCGGGTCCCGGGTGGCCAGCCCGTGCGAGGACCAAGGAAGGTCCCA